CAAGAAAACAGTAATAATGGTTTCAGACTTCTTGCAGTAATCCTATACTTATAACAACAAGGATGCTGTAATTTTTTACATGTATCAAGAACAGGAACAGCACACTGGTCTGACAGTTTTATGTCTCCTCAGTCTGCAAACAATATTATCAATCCTGAATTTTCATTGCATGAACATATAATCTATAACTTAAGTGATAATCCCAGAAATCTGTTTCAACATGGCAACTTATCTGATATAAATGAACATACTACATGAATGTAAAAAGTCTCGGAATTCATTTATTTAATCATTTTATTCATATTACCTGGTAAGCAGTTTCTTTCTCTATAATGGAATCTTCTAAGTGTTTCATTTCATTTCTAAGAGAATCTAGTTGGAAAAGAGTTTCAGTGAGTCTGAAATATACAAAACATAGTAAAACAATTTTCACTCTGAGATATTGTAATTTGAAGTACTGGAAAACATGAAAATACTGAACAGGTAACCAAATTCTTTTTTAAAACTAATCAGATAAAATTATGTACCTAACAAAACCACTGTGGCTAATTTGCATACTAATTAGCAAACATTTCATTTTGCATCGCAATATGAATATTATTTATATCAGAGCTTGGGACTAATTAGCATAATTGTTTAGGTATAATATTTTATGTACAGTCAGGTTTTATGTTTTGCCATAATTGATTTATAATTAATGTATTTTTATTCATAGAAGAATTAATAATAACTCTATAAAAAAAGTAGCGTTAATTGTCATTGGAAACACTGCCCCCCCCCCTCCACCCCCCAAAGAGCAAAGATGGTACTTATAAATATTTTTAAATGGATTCCTGAGGTAATCACTAATTAAATATACTGTGTTGGGCATGTGATACGAAGGTTTATGTTTCAGAGTGATTTAGTCTTGTCTTGCAATAAGTTTCTCAGGTGATTACCAAGTTGAAACCTCACTTCTGAATTCATCCAAAATTGGATGATATATATTAAAATTTCCCCATTTTTTGTTGCCTTTGATCATTGAGCAGAATCTTGTCTTATCTGAAAGATTCACAATCTGGCAAGCAACTTTTCATCACCTAGTAATGCACGTAGAGTAGAAAACATAATCTTCAAACCCTTCTTGATAAACTAGCGATAATTGCATTTTCAGTAATCTGGTAGTGAAGATGTTTATTTCATGCACATTTTTTTGTACATGTGCTTCACCAAACTGTAAGAAATGTTTCCTTGACACTGTATGTGAGAAATACAACAGGGCTATGATAAAGACAAGGTTATGTATGGTAGCATTATACCTCGTCAGACTACATTATCATGGAAAGAAACCTTGCTTCGTACATAAAATGAATGTATCGCACATAAAATAAGACAACAGTAATACATACTTTGTGTCTTTGGATGTTAGCAATTTTTCCTTTTCTTGCAGCTCATGACTGACATCTATAAGTTGCTGTGCATTCTGGGAAGGACAAGATAACACAGAGCATCATCATAAGTCATTCACAGCTGATTCAATGTAAGATTATTGTAAGATACATATCAACCAGCAAGCAGCAAAGGTAAATGCGACCGGATTTTGTGGTTTTTCTTGTGATGACCTTATTATTATACATATTTCAGGTCAAAATTATAAAAATATAAAATATGAAGATTGTCAGATAAAACCATTGCCGTTCAGACAATTGTTTAAGAAATTATTGATTAGTGTATGTAACGTCTGTATTGATAAATCAACTCGAGAAAGCTCTGTTTTGGATAGACGTATATTTATTGACAACTGATGGTGGCCATGCCGTTCAGGTATCCCCTAATGCTAGAGAGTCATCACTATAGTAACATATCGTGTGATGTCAACGGTCATGCATAAATAATGATATAGGACATTACATCCTCTTCCTTGTGGATACTAAAAATCTCACAATACAATTTTGATCTGATAACATTTGTTGTATATGAACTATCATTTAGTAAACGAATAAATCAAACATTCTATAGAGTAAAGAATAATAACAAACAAGAATCATGATGAATTTCATGAGTTAAAATGTCTGAGATATACTTTAAATGCTATGAATCAACTAAGCAAATGTCACTAGATTACAAATCAAGTATTTTGCATGGAACTGGCTTTCTTGACGATCTGCGAAGTGTAGGAGCGGGTTTTGTAGAATCATCGCTGTTAGTCAATCTGTGTTCTTGTCCTGGACTGTTCACTTTTACGTCTTCACCGTTGTTAAGATTACTCGTCTTTGGCATATTTATTTGCAATTGTGGTGAATTTATGGAGCTAGATTTTGTAGATTGTTGAGGATATACCGAATCGGGTGTGGAGTCATAATCAGTAAGCGAGGGGTCATGATCATCAAGTTAGAGTTGTTTTGAAGTAATGATCTATCTAACTTCTTATAGAATGATGAGTTTCTTGTGACCGTGTGTTCATCATTTCAGCAGTAATCATAGAGCCTTTT